TGATTACCTGGTGAGCTAGTTTCTTGCTAAGTGGCTCCAACTTGCAAGTTACAAGAAAAGTCCACAATTAGCTTGACTAGATGTATAGTCACACACATTGTTGATTTGTTTATCAAAGTCTCCTCTTATAATACGGCCTGTCCCTCACTAATTAAAAGGGCCCCTCCATTCCAATACATTGGCCCAAATGCTTCTATCATTAATTAAAATGGTCTATCCACTCCTACTTTTCAAAGTCTTTCACTTTTGTTTTCTATAGCAACATGATTACTTGGTGAGCTGGTTCCTTGCTACGTGGCTCCAACTTGCAAGTTACAAGAAAAGTCTACAATTAGCTTGACTGCATGTACAGTCGCACATGTTGTTGATTTGTCTACCATATGCTATTTTGACAAATGAATCGAAATCATTATAAATAATTTAATGTCTTAAATATCTTAATAAGCTAGTTTGCATATAGAGGCGCGTAGTTTTGAGAAATGTCATGTCACATCGGTTACGCACACACTTGCTGGTAAGGATACTCAATGAACAAATGCTGTTAATTTATCTCTACACCATTCTCAATTTGCTTAAAATTTCCTTAATGGCTATAGGGTTCCTAGTCAGAAAACTTTCTTTTGATCATTTGTAAATTGTTAAAATTCATTTTGTCAATTATATTTTATAGACATATACATACAACATATTAAAATTTATCTATCAAAATTAGTAGAACAATTGTTTTTAGGTAGACACTAAAACAATAAAAGCATTTATTTATATACTCTTTCCTTTAATCCTCAATGTAAGACCTAATTAACTAATTTGAGTAAATTAAAAATATTAGTTAAATTAGTTAATATGATATTTTTTAAAAAAGAAAACCCTAAGCACACTTCTCAATTTCCCCCTTTTTTCTTCTACTTGATCATTATTGAGGGAATATCATAGGTTTAATTGGAAAAAATTGATAAACATATGAAATAAGTTCTACATATAGGACTGATATTAACTCTAAAATTAGGTCATATATTAAAGATCAGAGGAGTATATAGTATATAGTTGTAAGTGCATAATACATTTTATTAAGAAAAGTATTGATTTAAATATAAACCCTATGAAAATGGAATATCATTACCTTATTTTATTTTTTTTATTATAAAATGACACATTTAATGTTGAGATGTTAAATATCATATTTAAATAAAAATATATATTTGTTAGTGAGAAAAAATATATATAAAAAGTCACACTAGCTGAAAGTATGACTTTTTGTGACGACAATTTGAAGTTGTTGCTGAAAGTCACTTTATTTCAGTGGCGACTTTAATAGTCACCGGAGAAACTCAAACTTTCAGTAGCAACTTCAGTTATCATCATAGAATGTCACACTTTTAGTGGCGACTTTAATTAGCACCACTGAAAGTCAAGTTTCAAAGGCAACTTTTTAGAATCGTCACTGAAAGTTTGTTTTTTGTAGTATATTTTAATATCATGAATATCAAAATTAGATATAATTTCATAGTATATGTGAAGTATGTATTAAGAACTTAATAAAGAAAGTTACGAATATGATATGTTAGTCATTAAATTGCATTTTCAACAGTAGTTTCTTGCTCAGGCAAAGAAAAAAAACGATTAAAAAATGAAGGTAGTAGTTTATGTCGTGGCCTATTGAGATCATGCAGTTTGAACATGTGTTCGCATTTAATTTGAATAGTTAAGCCTAATCTACATAAGAATTTTAAGGGGGAAGCCATTTTACAAGTATGTGTACTTTTTCTCAATTTTGAATTGGCACATGTTCACTTTTTATTAAATCATCATTTAACTTTGCTTTGTTAGCCATGTACTTTAAGAAACACAGTGAAAGGATGAATGGAGGAAATAGCTAGATTTTGATTTTAAGTGCAAGAAATATCCAACATCGTGCGTGACTGTGCGTGTAGAAGAAATTATAAGCTGAGTGGCGACTTCCCGTAACTTACACGCTCGGGCAACTTATATTTTCCAAGTGGAAGACTTTGAAATGTAGTAGTGGAGGGGCCATTTTAATTTGTGATAGACACATTTGGGCATCACTTTCTCGAGATGTTCTATCGATCATTAATTAATTCAAGAGGCCCCTAACTCCCACACACATTAGTTGATTTTTCCAAGAGTTAATTTTCAAGTCGTCGAACGCGCAAGCTGGAAATAAAGCCTCAGAAGACCAAGTCTTTCCTAGAGCACCATCACTCTTTCTCTTCTTCCCTTTGTACACGTAATTTTTCTTTTTGCCAGTCCTTTCTACACATAAATGAAATTTAAGAGAAATGCTTGATTAGCTAAATAGTTGGGGGGAAAAACAAATTGAGATTTTATATTTGAGATCAAAACAAATTTCTGAACTAGTTTTTATATGCAGGATTATAGGGAGTGTATTTTTAGTTTAGTTTTTAATATGAATTTATCATAAATAATTTTTCTATATATTGTGTGACTAGTAATTGAATAGGACCGGGGGAGTATTATTTTAAAGTTAATATCATGAAGATCAATATGAAATATGATTTCAGACTATATGTAAAGTATGTGTTAAAAACTTAATAGAGAAGGTTAAAATACTAAGCGAGAAAGAAAGTTAAAATAATATGATACTTTTTTTGAAAAAAAAATTGAGGAGGCAAATCACAAAGTTTAGGATGGATCAGCAAGATATAAATTTTAAGGGGTTCACTAGAAGGATCAAATTTTAAGTTCGCTCGGTTTTATTTGAATTTTAATTGTTTTCGTGTAAATTAAATTTGTAACTAAGATTGCTCATTTTGATCCCAAATGGCAAATGGACCTTTGGGGATTTTTTTTTTTTGCAAAAATAAAATATTTTTATCCATTAAAAGATTTAAGTGTTAATAAAAGATATGACACTTTTCGTGCCAATATATATAATACTTTTCATATCATGTAAATTAAGTAGGGAGAATCCTGATTAAATCCAATTAAAATATCAAAATTCAAATTAAGGCCAACACTTTTAACAAATTTTTAATTAGGTCAATAGGCCTTATTAGGGATTTTTAAATATTGTTAAAAGAATAAAATGCCTTTTTATAATTTAAAATAATATTATTTTGAAAAAAATTTAAACCATGAAAACATGACATCATATAGTATTTATTTATACAAAATTTTTTACATAAAAAAATTTAAAAATACTAAGAGCCAAAAATTGACAATGCATAATATAATATTTTATACTAATTCTCATATATTGATAAGAAATTTATGGGAACAAGGACTGTTTTTTTTTTTTTTGGGTAATGGGAATAGGGCTTTTTAATTATTTGATTCCAACACCATTAAATTAATAATTTTTCAAAGGAAATTTTGTTCCTTATAGTTGAAAAATTAGAATCTTAATGTATTAGTATATTTCAGCATCAAATTTGTTATTTTCTTAAGTGCTTTGTTATATCTGCCATATAGATGTTCTCATTATGTTATATCTTCTAATCTTATTGCTAAAATTCTTACTAATAATTAATATGAGTTTGTATTAGAAATATAAATAACTTTTCTAACATTTTATGGGACGAATGGAGTAATATGAACTTCTTAATATAAATGTATACAAAAAAAAATTATACATTTTACTCTTTTAACAATATATGGAGTAAGAACACGTAAAGCTAATAGTTTATCTAACAGCATCTCAGGAAAAAAGAATTTAGGTCATAAATTGATTGGACCAATTACCAATTTGCTACTTAAAATAGGTATTTTAGTCTTTTAACAACATTAAAAAATCCTTAATAAGACCTCTTGGCCTAATTAAGAATTTGTTAAAAGTGTAGGCCTTAATTTGAATTTTGATATTTCAACCAGATTTAATTAGAATTCTCCCAATTAAGTATTCCATTCTTTCATACCATAATATTTGTTAACAAATAAATTTATGTCGAATTTAAACACACAAGAATATATGATAAGAAGTAATAAAAAGCCAACAAAAAAGGATGCACGGTTAAGCCATTGTGGAAATAAAGACTTCTATATATAATTTGTTTAGTGAAAATTATACTCCTCTAATCTGGTTCTGTTTATAAGATAGAGAAAAATATTTTTCTTGATTTTATTTATAAGTCACCTCATTAAATTGTTATAATGAATGTATTATTTTCTTCTTAATTTATTATATTGTATATAATTATTATTTTTTTTTGTAAGGTGTATATATTAAATAAGGGTAAAGTTAAAAAATTGTTATATTTTAATAGAGAGTTAATGTAGTTTAAAGTTTTTCTTAATATCTGTGAAACATATTAGAAATGTTTAATAAATAGGATCATACCATATGTAAGTTATTTATAAATATATCTCACGTATTTGCCAATTCAATATTATTTCTGAAACTTTATAATTTTTTCGACAAAGAAACTTCTTTGATTGACAAGGAAACTATCGATTTAATAACAAATAAACTTATTAGAATTATAAATCAACGTTTTTCAAATATTGATACTTAGTAGTTACAGCTCAAACTTTGTCAATTTACAAGTTAACCTCCAAGAATTTCTCTTCAAACGAGGTCTCTCTCGAATGGCCCAAATGTTTCAATTGTTAACTAAAATAGCCCCTCGACCCTAACTCATTGGCCCTATAGTAAATTAAAATGGTCCATCGACTCTTACTTTTCGAAGTCTTCAACTTTTGTTTTCTATAGCAACATGATTAGCCATTAAGGTGGTTTCTTGATAAGTTGCTCCAACTTGCAAGTCACAAGAAAAGTCCACAATTAGATTGACTACATGTACAATCAGGCGCCTTGTTGATTTGTCTATCATATGCTATTTTGGCGAACGAATGTGAATCATTATAAATAATTTACTGCTTTAAATATCTTAATCGGCTATTTATGTGCATGTAGAGGCGTAGTTTTCAGGAATGTTAACTCATCTCCTTATATATACCTCTCACTATGCATTGCATTTACACCATTCTCAATTCGTTTAAAATTTCCTTCATAGCAATGGGGTTCCTAGTCAGAAAATCCCGATTTTTTGAGAAGCTAACACTTTGGTGGGTGCCATTAGTTGGCTTTTTAACATTGTTCCCATCTCCTATTTCTTCTTTCATGACCTCACTAAATAGTGAAGCAAATGCTCTGCTCAAGTGGAAAGCCAGCCTTGACCACCAAAGCCAAACTGTGTTATCATCATGGAAGGATAATGGCAGTCATCCTTGCAAATGGGTTGGAATCACATGCAATGAGCTCAACTCCATTTCCAATATATCTCTTCTAGATTTTGGACTAAGAGGTACGCTTGATAGTCTCAATTTCTCATCTTTCCCTCATCTTCAAATCATACAGATGCAACGGAACTCATTTTATGGGAATATTCCTCCCCAGATTGGTGAACTATCCAAACTCAGTCTACTAGATTTTTCTCATAATGAGTTCTCCGGTAGCATTCCAACAAGTATTGCCAACCTCTCCTCCCTCATCTTTCTTTATCTTCCTGATAACAATTTTGTTGGAGCATTTCCAGTTGAGATCCTAGAGTTGACTAGGCTTAGTGATCTGGTCTTATGTTATAATTATTTCAGTGGCCATATTCCTGAAGCTATAACAAATTTGACCAACCTATCAAACTTTAACCTAGAAATCAACAATTTTTCTGGTCATATTCCTCCACAAATTGGTAGGTTGGTTAACATTTATTACTTATCACTTCATGGCAATCAGCTTACTGGTTCTATCCCTGATGGGATTGGAATGCTCAAGGGACTTGAGCAACTTGACATGTCAGAAAACAATCTCTCTGGTAGCATCCCTATTGCTATCGGAAACTTGTCCAGTTTAGCACTGCTTTATCTTTATTCTAATCAAATCTCAGGATATATTCCTTCAAGCATTGGAAACTTGACAAAGCTCTTCACGCTAGATTTAGGACCAAACAACCTCTCTGGATCTATTCCTTCTAGCATTGGCAACATGATTGAGCTCTCCATACTAAATCTACTTCAAAACAAACTTAGTGGCAATCTTCCACTAGAAATGAATAACCTTAGGAAGTTGCAAAGCTTACAACTTGCAAACAATAATTTCAAAGGTCATTTGCCTCAAGACATTTGCCTTGGAGGATTACTTAAGAATATCTCTATAACTAACAATCAATTCACTGGTCCAATTCCAAGAAGTTTGAAGAATTGCTCTAGCCTTATCAGAGTCAGGCTAGACAGTAATCAACTTACAGGGAATGTCACAGAAGCTTTCGGTATATATCCATACTTAAACTATATTAATTTAAGTAGCAATGCACTTTATGGCCACTTGTCACCTATGTGGGGGCAGTGCCATAACCTTACAAACCTTGAGATCTCTTATAATAACTTGTCAGGGGGCATACCACCAGAGCTAGGTCAGGCAAAAAAGTTACAGCGACTTAATTTTTCATCGAATCACTTGACAGGAAATATTCCAAAGGAATTGAGCCACTTGTCATTATTGAGTGAACTTAGTCTAAGCAACAATCAACTTTCAAGAAACATTCCTATTGAGATAGGATTGTTGACGAAACTTGAAAAATTAAGTCTAGCTAACAATCACTTAAGTGGCTCAATTCCAGAACAACTGGGAGGGTTGACCAAATTATGGGAATTGAACTTAAGTGGAAATAAGTTCTTCAGCATTCCCATTAGTTTTGGCCAATTGCAACATCTTCAGTTTCTTGATCTTAGTGAAAATTCATTTACCGGCAGAATCCCAGCAATGCTTGGAGAGTTACAACTGGAAATGTTGAACCTCTCATATAACAATTTCTCTGGAATGATTCCTTCAACTTTTAATGATTTGAAAAGCTTGACTATGGTTGACATATCACACAATAAATTAGAAGGTCCACTTCCAAATATTTCAGCCTTTCGTACAGCTACAATGGAGAGATTAATAGGCAACAAAGGCTTATGTGGTAATCTATCTGGCCTACCAATTTGCCCAACAACAAATTTTGACTCAAGCCATTCCAAGAGCAGGAAAGTGGTTATCTATGTTGTATCCTTTAGTTTGGGAGCTGTGATGCTAGCAACATTTTTCATCGGGATTTCATATATTATTTTCCATCACAAAGCAAGGAAAACAGAAAGTCAAGAAAGAGAAGTGCAAACTCAAAATTTATTTGCCATATGGAGTTATGATGGGAAATTAGTATATGAAAATATTATTGAAGCCACAGAGGAGTTCAACGAAAAATATCTCATTGGAGAGGGAGGATCTGGAAGTGTTTACAAAGCAGAATTATCCACAGGTCAAGTTGTGGCTGTGAAGAAGCTTCATTCAATACCAGACAGGGATATGTGCCTCCAGAAAGCTTTTATTAGTGAGATTAGGGCCTTAACAGAAACTCGGCATCATAATATTGTCAAGCTATATGGGTTTTGCTGGCATTCAAAGGTCTCATTTTTGGTTTATGAATTCTTAGAAGGAGGCAGCTTGGACAAGATACTAAGTGAAGAGACACAAGCAATTGCATTGGATTGGACTAAAAGAATCAAAGTTGTTGAAGGTGTGGCTAATGCTTCATACTATCTTCATCATGGATGCTCACCTTCGATAGTTCATCGTGACCTATCAAGCAAAAATGTTATTTTAGACTCGAATTATGAGGCTCACATCTCTGACTTTGGGACAGCCAAGCTTTTGTATCCAGATTCTACCAATTGGACTTCATTTGCTGGCACCTTTGGCTATGCTGCTCCAGGTTAAGGATCTTTTATGTTATGTGATTTTGATTACTTTTGAGTTTGCATGGTGTTATATTTCATGTTTCCATTTTTGAACAATTAAAAATTTATCATTCACAACGATTTTTTTCATGATAATCCTTTTGGTTTTGTTATAGAACTTGCTTACACAATGGAAGTTACTGAGAAATGTGACGTTTATAGTTTTGGAGTGTTAGCTCTGGAAATAATTATGGGAAAGCATCCAAGAGATCTCATAATGTCATGTTTCTCGTCAACATCTTCTGGTGTCGTGCCAACAATTGTTGCTCATGATTTGGATTTGAAGGGAGTGTTAGACCAAAGGCTACCTTATCCTCGAGGCTCAGTGGTTGAGAAGGTGATGTTGATTGCAAGAATAGCTTTTACTTGCTTGAATGAAAATCCACGTAGTCGCCCAACCATGGACCAAGTATGTAAGGAGTTTGCCATGCCAAAATCACATGTTTCTGGTTCCATTCCATAGCTTCGTATAAGTTATATTAGAGATGTCAACTAAAAATAAGATCATCACGATATGATGATGTGTGGTGTATTATAGTCTTCGTACTGAATGTGTTCCCCTAGTCTACTTGCGTTTTACCTTTTGAATAAGGACCAACCCAAAACAATAATTAAATATTGCATAGTTAAGTTAATTAGTGACGTGTTTATCAATTTATAGTTTTCATTACATATTTTTCTAAGCCCTGATTTAATAAGACCAATGTTGCGCATCATCATTAAGAACTCCAATATGACTACGTAAGAGAGCAAATGAGATTACTATATGTAGATATGTGTGTGTGTATACTCCTCTGATTCTTATTATAAAGAGTTATCTAGAAGAAAATTTTGGTCCTTATTATAAGGGATCAACAGGGTTATTAATGAATTTTTTCCCTAATGTACCCCCAATTAAAAATTATTATTGCTCATGTAAATAATTTTCCACTGGCCCCTCAAAGTTTATTACAAGGGTCAGTTTGGAAAATTTTATATGTTTTGAAACACATTCAATGATATAACTATTATTTCTTGATCTATGTAAATTAGCTTGTTGAAAGAGCAGAGGGACTATAAATATATATATATATATATATATTACCATTAAAGCAATTAATTCATATTCATGGAAGCGTCAGTTAGAATTGATTTGTTTAGCAATTTTATAATTTTAGGGAACTTATTTTTTCTAACACATAGTAAATCTATTTGTTTAGCCTCCCAGATCTTTAGCTATTTGCCAATGCAATCCAAGTACTAGAAGATCTTCATCTTTAACATCATGATCCATCTCTATCGTCGCAAATTAACGATAAATTTTTTTCAAACACATTGTAAAGTTTTAAACCATCTAAATAGTAGTGACGTATAATGAATTTCTTATTTTTAGTGTAATAAAAAAACTTCTCTTTTTATATAAGTAAGCAAATGATTATCGCTTCACCATTTATGTCCAATACTGTTTTGTGTAACATACTGAAAAAAAATTGTAAATAAAATATATATAATAATAATATTTTATTATAAAAAGAAAAAAAGAAAAAAAAGGGGGGACAACTTTCCACCAAATCGGTGGAAAGTTGGAGGCAAAGAAGAATTTGAGTGGGGTGTATTAAATGAAAGAGGAATGTTGAGGGGGAGTGTTAAATGGGTTGGAAAAAAATTAGAAGGTAATAAATGAAAGAAGAAATTGGATGGAAGAAAGAGAGGGGGAAAGGACGGTGGAAGTGGAAATTTGGAAGAGGAGCCGTGGAAAAATGAAACATGGGGGTATTATATATATCATCATCCCCGGTGATCTCCTTCAAGCAAGAGCAAGAGAGTGTGGGAGAAAAAGAGAGAGCGAGAGAAAAGAAAGAGAGCGAGAGGAAGAAAGGAAAATCAAGAGAGTGTGGAAGTACATGCTGTCTGAAGGATAGGAGAAGATTTGAGGATCATTTAGGTACACAAATATACTTCTTTTTATCAAATTTTCTTTATGAGTACTTCTTAAATATTTAGAGCTTAATATTATTAGTATTATTATAATGTTTAGAGAAAATTTTACTGTTTGGGTACAGAGTAAATATGGAGTTTTGACAATATATAACTGTAGAAATTTAAAGATCCATTATTAAGGAATTGTAATCGGTTTATTTTTGTTTAATGATTATTTTGAGAATTTTAAACTAAGATTTTAGTTGAAAAATTTGTTATTTAGACTTGTAATATGTTTTTACCAATTAAATTTGAGTTAAATAATTTTTGAGAATTTTAAACTAAGATTTTAGTTGAAAAATTTGTTATTTAGACTTGTAATATGTTTTTACCAATTAAATTTGAGTTAAATAATTTATTTGAGTTATTTAATATATTATTGAGGTTTTAATCGGTTTAAATATTGAATAAGTTAAAGATATATTGTTGAAATAATTTTTGAAAGCTTGAAAAATTGTAAATTGAGAATTTGGTGAAATGAGATAAAGTTACAGTTTGTTTATAATTTAAAAAAATTGTTTGGTTTGAGAAAAAATTTTAAATGAGATTATAATAAATAATTGAGAATTTTAATACGAAATATTTAGATTTTAGGTAATAAAAATATATTCACTTAAGTTGTTAAATTTAAATAGCCTTTTATATGTTATATTTTTCAAAATAATATTATATCTATTATAAATGCCTAGATTTGGGAGAGTTAATATATTTATGTAATTTTGGTTTAGAGGGTAGTCTTAGAATTTTAGAGTAGTTTTGGAGTAGTTGAGTTTATATTAATAAATATTTATGTGTAATTTTGTAGACCCTTGAGATTTTGAAGTAATCCTTGTGTGAATATTTGTAAGTTAAAGAGTACCAGGTAACTCTGAAAATTCTTTCTTGTACATGTGAATTGTGTATGATTGTATTATGAATTTACTATATTTTTATATGTTGAAATATAATATTGTGATTTTTCAAATGAATGTTTTGGTATGTTATTTGCTTTTGTTAAGATTTATTGCTGTTAATTATGGTTAATAATTAAATATATTGATGGCTATGGAATTGTCATGAGTTGCTATTAAATGGTATATAAGTTTTATTGATATCTTATTTTTAATATACTTGAGGACGTATTTATGATGTAATAGTATTGGCATCTGACATGCATTGTTGGGCTAAGGATAGAAGGAGATTGCATGGATATAAAATTACCACGTGGTATGCCATCACTCGGTGCACAGTGGATGGCACTTGTCAGGGCCCCTTCTTCCATGTTTTCCTTTGGCCGGGAATTCATTGGAGCTGTGGGACATGTGACACCTCCCTATTCACAGAGGAGGGGAGCCATAGTCCGAGCTTGAGCTCTATATCTTTGGCCGGATATATCTCTAGTGTCGGTAAGCTTGGAATAATTCAGTAAAAATGGATTAGTTCCTATCGGACTATGTGTTAGCCTATGGCTCCAGTCAGCAGTATAAGGGTGGATGGTGATATAAGGGAGGCAGCATATTGCATTATTTTTGGATATATTGAAAAGAGAAAAATGAAAATTGAATTGAATGTTTTAAACTCGTGATTTTTAATATATGCATATATACAGGCATAGAAACAAATTTTTGGTTTATCATATATGATTTGCTTCTATAGGTTAGAATTTAAGTAGTTACTGAGACGTTTGATCTCACCCCCCTATATTAACAATTTTCAGGTGAAGGATCTAGTAGAAATCAAAGGAAGGCACTAATGGAATGAGCCGTGAAGGCTTTTGTGCTTCTCAAGCACATGCTATGTTATATTTATTTACCATGACTATAAGACTTTAATAGTTTATGTGGTTAAGCTATTTTAGAAATGTTTTGAAATTTTGACTTGTTTGTAGTATTAGAAATATGTATGGACTTCTAAATTAAATATTTTATTGCGTATATTGATATAAATATGTAAGGTGTTACATTTTGCTTCAGGTTCTTGATGATATTTATAATCGGAAAAGATCTTTTAAACTTGTTGCCATATAGATAGTATCAACTTCTAATTTCTTGTTGCGATAATTATTCTGTCAAAAAAAATTTCAAATTGACTATTTACTATCAACAGTTCTAAGTGAGACAATTCCGAAGAATAAAATTGAGCAGAACAAATTAGATTATATTCTTATCCAATGTAAAAAAAATATCTTAAATGCATGCTCATGCCAAAAAAGAAGTGTTCAAGTCATATCTAAAATAAACCTAGTCAATCACCAAGGATTAAATAAAATAAATAATACCAAATACAGACAGATATGTAAATTAAAATACTTAATGTATAATTGTATATCTTATATATATATATATATATGCACACATATATGTGGAAAAATTTAGGTGACATACAAATTGAAAATGATAGGAAAAATGAAGAAAGGATATTAAAAAAATTTTGGGGGGAGGGGGGAAAAAAAAGAAATCAATAACATCCAATCTTCTCTAAATAAATACAAATGTGAGATGTTCAAAAGTTGGGGGCCAACAAACACACCAGCAAACTTAAAGATCAATTAAAAAAAAAAATCAAATCAGGTTTCCCATGTTGTTCCTCAAGTTTCAAATTTCATCTTAATCATGCATGTTGGGAACTTAAAGACAATAAAAAGGAATGTAATAATAAAAAGACTTACCTATTATGTTTTTATTATTACTAAAAGGTGTCTCTCTCTTTTTATTACGTAACTATAGGGACACAAAGTTATCATATTACTTATACTTTTGAGATACTTAGCATGATTTGTGTTGAGAGCATCAAAATGATGCTTTAACTTGGATAATAATGTGGAATGACTAACGATTTGTGATTTGGAAACCTTGTAGTTACGGCCAAGTGCCTTAGGAATGATTTGGCTGTTGTCGAGCACGGATCCATATAAAGCCATCTATTTTGATGATTGGACTTTATTCAAGAATTTGTGATATATTGTGTGTGACAAACTATTCCTTGTGGGCTAGATGGTTGGACTTGAGTATATGTCTTGTGTCACATCCCAAAAATTTTCATTTGGCAATAAAGGATCAAAAATTGGGATGAGGGTCAATGTAGAAACTAGAAGGGGAGATGAAACAACTTTTGATATGAAACCCCGAAAAGGTCCGGGCTGGTATTTTCGTAATTATCAGCCTAGAAAGGGTTTTCATTTGGCAATAAAGGATCAAAAATTGGGATAAGGGTCAACGTAGAAACTAGAAGAGGAGATGAAACAACTTTTGATATGAAACCCCGAAAAGGTCCGGGCTGGTATTTTCGTAATTATCGGTTTAGGAAGGGCAAAACGGGAAAATTTGAGAAAAATTCCAGAAAATCTCCGAAAAATGGGAAAATTATAGAATAGAGGTTTTGAAAAATCGCTTGAGGCCCGAAAGGTGGAATTTCAGTAAAATGAATTATTACGGAATTTCCTGTAAACGGAGGTTTTTTCGGGAAATTATTGGGGAAATGAAGGAAAATAATTATTTGAATAAGTTAGAGGCCTCAATAAATTTGGGAGATTGATGGAAAATTCATCTAAATGTGTGTTTGAATTTATAAAATTTGTTTTAGGCTTTGGAGGCTCAGGAATTAATTTTAGGGAATTTATTTTCCCTTAGATTTACCGATAAAGGCCTAATCGAAGAAAATTCAAAATAAATACCTAGAGATGGTGAAAAATTCTGAAAATTTTCAGATTATACTCCCATATTAAAAGGTGAATTATCATGGAGAGAAATGAATTTTTGAAGGTCTGAAAAAATTATGAAAT